TGGTTTTCCCTGCAAAGTGAAAAAACTCTTTTCCTCACTTACTTGTTTAAATAGAAAAGTTAGCTAATAAAAGTTTTTGACTCACGAGACGAGAGATGTCTTGTATTATGTTCCTTTAGACAATTTTATAATAATCTAGCCGATAGGACTTTTTTCGAGTAAAAATTTAATTTGCTTGGTCTATGTTTATTTATTTACTTATTAGAATTTTAGTATAATTTATCGTTAGTAATTTCAGCTATAAAAGTGATAGATTATTTTACTATTTGTTTAGAGAAATATATATAATTTTTTATATGTCCTTCTATGCCATAATCCTTGCCTTATCCCCTATCCCGGCAAGAAATCACTGTGATGACATCCTCGTTTGTTCTTGTTGAACTATTAGGTATACTTTTGGAATAACTAATATAATTTTCAGGTATATTTATATTAACTATCTTCATAATTCTTAAGTTTTTACACTTTCAAAAGTAAATAGACTAACGTAGATTGCAATTATTATATGATATTAAGTTACATGAGAGAAAAAAAATTTCGCCCACCCATCTCAAAAAGTCACGAGCCGCCACTGATATGGTATACGATCTATGTATACAACCAATGACTTCACTCATCAGTTTATAGCCATAAGTAGTTTGTACTTTAGCGACCTTGGCATAAAACCTATAATTTTTTGATATTTTGCCTCTGACTGCAGTTTTGGGATAAACCTGTATTTTACCTGGATGGCCATTTGGTTGTGTTCTGTAGTTAAGTCATGATCTTTCAGGCAACAAAGGGCTACGATCGTGGCGGTTTGGTTGCCAGTTTTCATATATTTGATCAATTTCTGAATGTGCCAGAACTCTGGAGGAATATCAATTTTTGGTTTTTCTGCCTTTCTTTCATCCTCCGAAGATGAACTGAAAAAACGATTTTATAACCTTATAACCAAAAATTAAGCATTTGAAATTATCCATTTTTGAATACCATTCTTTGCTAGGAAAATTCGTTTGGTTGGGTATTTTCACCAGCATAATCTTACCCTGGTACCGTGGAATCTTCACTGTCTGAGTGCTCTTCCACTATGACCTCTCGTAGGCCGCATTTGGCGCTGTCATCAACCGCGTCTTCTTCGTCGTAGGCATCTGTCCTCATCTTAAAAGGTTTTCTTTGGTGCGTTGGTATGTTAAACCTGGAGACAACGTTTTTTTTAGTCAAATCTGTCAGAAAGACGAGAAACTGAATAAAATCAAAAGTTTGACAGGTTACTAAGAAACAAATAATATACACGGTGGTGTTTCGCATAAGAACCATAGACCATATAAACTACTACGATAAGAACAGGGGTATGTAGGGAAACCCAGAATATATTGATTTAATTCCCTCCGTGTACCAAATTTGGTTTTTCTAAGTTCAAGTAGAACTGAGATATTGATTTTTTTTCGAAATTTGAAACCCTCTTTCAAGGCCTATTAACGTCTCAGGGGTACAGCTTAGTGTAAAGACAAGTTGCGTTAAATCACCATATTTTGGGTTTCCCTACATGCCCCTGTGTTGGTTCTTATGCGAAACACCCTGTGTAATATAATAACCGGAATAGAAAAGAATTCTTTATAGCTGCCAAGCATCTTAAGTAAATATAGTCATGAAAAATAGTATAATCAAATTGTACTAATGAAAAAACACATAGTTGCCAGTTGCCACATTGAAATTGTTATATAAATAATATTTCTGTCTTGGAAGTTTTTTTTGTTTATTTTTTATTCTGTATCTAAATCTATATACTTAATTATAATTATTTTTTTTTGAAAAATAAAATACGTACATTAGGGTGGCCCAAAAAACAAATATTTTTGTTTCGTGTCTTGTGAAAATATGTTAGTTTATCATGTTTTAAGAGCCCCTTCAAAAAAAATTAAAATTAAAAAATTTCCAAAATTGTCAAAAGTTGAATTTTGAAAATAATTTTTTTTCTCGTTTTTTTAACATTTTCTAGGTTGAAAAAATCTCGATTTTGAAAATTTCAAATCGATATTTTAATTTCTAAAGGTCACTCATAATTATTTTAACTTTCAAAGTAGTGTAAGTACCTAAAATGTCTTCGAGTGACCTCTACAAATAAATATCAACGAACTAATAATTTGTTTTATTGAATCTGATGAACAAAAGAATAGAAATAAATCACGAGACACTTAAAAAATTCTCGAGGCAAAATTTACTACCGCACCGAGTATCAAATATTTATATTATTATTATTATTATTATTTTTAAATTTAAGTGTCGTGATTTATTTCTATTCTTTTGTTCATCAAATTCAATAAAAAAAAAATGATTAGTTCGTTGATATTTATTTTTAGAGGTCGCTCGAAAACATTTTAGGTACACTACTTTTAAAGTTAAAATAATTATGAGTGACCTTTAGAAATTAAAATATCGATTTGAAATTTTCAGAATCGAGAATTTTTTCAACCTAGAAAATGATAAAATAAAGAGAAAAAAAATTAAAAAAAAATCAATTTTTGACGATCTTGGAAATTTTTAAAAATCTTGAGCGGAGCGGCCTCTAAAAAAAATTTTTTTGAGCTGATTTTTTGAGGGGGCTCTTAAAACACGATAAACTAACATATTTTCACAAGAGACACAAAAAAAATATTCGTTTTTTTGGGCCACGCTAACGTACACATAACTAATCAATTTTTAAAAGTAATTTATGAAGGCAAAATGTAACCTGTTACATCCATTGTAATGAATCCTACAAAGTTTACTCCCTGTGCCAAAACGTATTCAACAGGAAGGCTATTTTTACATTTACATTGATATAAGTGAGAGTCCGTTTGGTTTCCTTTTACGTTGTGAATTTGTCACAATGAACTCTTAAGTAACCCCAAAATGTAGGTTAATAGATACTAGCGATTGTAGTTCCAGCTCCTAAATCATGTACCGTTGAATAGCCAATCTTCAAACATCTTAAAAAGAGAAAATATTGCTTGTCTATCACAAGTTGTCACGGTACAGGAAAAAACCGATAGAATTTTTTTGACGTTTAAAGAATAATTAAATGAAACACGTTTTTAAAGTACGACATCAATTTTATTTGAGACATTCTGTTCCAGTTTCGACGAAGCGTTTCCGATATTTTGCAACCCCATCATGACGATCGATTCCTTCTGCGATGGCTTAGAGGTAAACTGTTACTTTTATTAACTTGAAAATATTTCAATTTTGATTACTGTGAAGAGTATATTCACAGTCTAAACAACAACTTTTGTCAAATATATACATATTTATTTTTTGGAAGTCTCGCATTTTTGCAAGGTATTTTGTACCCATTAAAATAATGCTAACGAACTTTCCATGAATTAAAAAAATATATTTAAGCATCGAATGCGAATGTTTTATCGATTTATTCACCGCCATAAAAATTTTGGCTAGCCTAAATACTAAACACCAAACCAAAATTCCAAAATTGTCTAACAAATGCCAATGCTTATATCGAGGGGCGATCCGCTGATGTAATCTTCGTACGTTTGCCCTGGAATCTTTATGTAATCTACGTAATCTTATCTGTAATCTATGTAGTCTGTCTGTAATCTACGTAATCTTATCTGTAATCCTCGCTGTAATCTATATAATCAGCTAATGAATTTCGTCGATGTAGTCGTTATACAACGCCCCCCCCCCTTATCTCATTTTCCAAAGAATGCCACATAAACGTCGACAGAAACCTATATGGTGCGATTGGTGTGTTCCGAAGGGCAATCTGCCAAGGAAAAAACAGACGAAGATTACAAAATTTCTGAAATCTCTTGTAATGTATCTGCAGATTTCAATATCAATTCAAAAAATATTACAAATTTCATATAAATAATCAAGATTACAATATCTTTCAACCGATTACAAAACATTTCAGGAGATTTCAGAGTTATTTTAGTAGATTTCAATGATTATTTAAGATTTCAATAGGATTATTAGAAATTAAAAGAAGATTTCAAAATTTCTTAATAAGGTTTCAAGGAATACGGGAAGATTACAATAAGTTTTGAATGTCCATTTGAACAAAAATAATTGAATTAACTTCAAATGTCATTCATTTCATTCATTAACAGTAGTACTTTGATTAAGAATTTCCAGTATCAGGCATTTTTTGGGCAAAAATTGTAACATTCTGATTAAGTTTTTTGTTCGAATGAACGTTAAAAACATTTTGTCATGACAAAAATGATAATGCTATTTTGAAAGTAGGTAAGTATTTTCCCAAAAACTAATAAATAAAAAATATATTAAGCTTTTATTAATACTTGCATTTAATACTTTACTTGTATACAGTGTGTTTAAAAAGGACGCGGCAATATTTAAGGGAGTGATTGCTCAGGTCAGTATATAAAAAAAGTCTTATAAACATAGGTCCGCAAACGCTTCGTTACCGATCTACAGAATGTGAAATTTCATTAAAAAACAGTAAAAATTAAATTTCTCTAAAACGCAGCCCCTTATTATTACCTACTACAAACAACAGTAGGTATGTACCACATTTTAAAAATCAATCAAATTTGATAATTTGAATTTCTTTGTTCAATAATTTAAATTTCTCAATTAAAACAACATTGGGTTTAGGTGCGCAATAAAATATTTTTTATTTCTTTACTCAATAATGGTGTGACGTACGGTGCGTATAATCTGAGGAAAGCTTTCTTCTTCATAATTGAACAAGGAATTAAAATATTATATTTTTAGAAAAACCAGCGGGGTCCTATTTTTTTCATTAAAAATAGCTAGTCACTGGTAAGACTAAAAAATCGTTTTGTATTGCAAAGTATGCGTCTGCCATAGCTATTGACATGCCTAAAATTTCATTATAATATCAAGAGGTTTTGGAGAAATTTAATTTTTACCGTTTTTTTAATGAAATTTCAACATTCTGTAGATCGGTAACGAAGCGTTTGCGGACGTATGTTTAAAGGAACTTTTTTTTTATAAAATGATCTGGGCAATCACCCCCTTAAATATTGCCGCGTCTTTTTTAAATACACTGTATACAGGTAAAGTATTAAATACAAGTGTTAATAAAAGCTTAAAATATGTCTTATTATTTATTTTTTGGGAAAATGTTTATTTTATGTTACTTCTATTTTTTTATTTTTATTAGTTTATTGGATTATTATATTTTTATCTTTCAATAAAAATATATACTTACGTACTTTCAAAATGGCGTTATTATTTTTGTCATGACAAACAGTTTTTAACGTTCATTCGAACAAAAATGTTACAATTTTTGCGTAAAAATGATACTGGAAATTCTTAATCAAAGCACTACTGTTAATGAATGAAATGAATGACAGTTGAAGTTAATTCAATTATTTTTGTTCAAATGGACATTCAAAACTTATTGTAATCTTCCCGTATTCCTTGAAATATTATTAAGAAATTTTGAAATCTTCTTTTAATTTCGAATAATCCTATTGAAATCTTAAATAATCATTGAAATCTACTAAAATAACTCTGAAATCTCCTGAAATGTTTTGTAATCGGTTGAAAGATATTGTAATCTTGATTATTTATTTGAAATTTGTAATTTTTTTTTAATCGATATTGAAATCTGCAGATACATTACAAGAGATTTCAGAAATTTTGTAATCTTCGTACGTTTTTTCCTTAGCGGATCGCCCCTCGGCTTATATTAAAAAATATACTTAAATTTGGACGAGATAACGCTAATTTTTGACAGGTTGTTGTCTTACACTCTATATAAAATTATCGCAACTTTTTTGCAGCCAGAAGTTGGGATCCGGAAGCCGCAGAAAAAATGTTGAGACAGGTACGTAAAAATGATTTTCTAAGTACAAATAAATTGTTTATACAAACTTGGGAGATGATTTGTTAAAATGTATTATGTAAGTAATAAATAAGCATTTTCAATCAAAATTGTTAAAACTTATGAAGAATCTCTGGAAGTTTCACCGTCATAAATATTTACATAAAATAGGTGAATGTTTGCAGTCGTAAATAGCGTGTCACAGACTTTTTATCTTGTTTTTTTTTTTTTTTTTTTTTGTAATAATTACTTCTACATTAATTTTCATTGCGGAAACATGTCTTTTATTGTGATCATTACATATTAGAAAAAAAATGTTTAAGAACTAATTTGAAACGTTTTGGAGATTAGAGAAGGTACAAAGTAACAGTTATTTTAATGTAAGTGTTAATAAATAGTTAATTGTTTAAAGTTTTCTTTATTCGAATTATAATTATTTTATTTGACCAGTGACTATAGTCAGTATTGATTGAAATTTCATTTTAGTCACAAAAAAACATCGTATGCTATCATGACATGGTCCCTATTTAAATTTAAATATTTTTTGAATGCCCTGCATTACAATTATTTTCGGTTGTTCATTGAACAATTTATTATTTAGTCCATGAAATGGAGGCATCAGTGGGAGGTGGACACTGGACTGAAGGAATGGACACCACCAGAAGTGCTGCTTTTATATCATCCCAGTGGTACATCTGGGCTCGACAGAGACGGCGCACCTGGTAAATAATTGCGAAATATATGATTTATTATTATTTGTTGTTTCAAGATACTCATGTTGGTTTTTTTTAGTAATTGTAGTTCCATTTTCTGGCTTCGACGTTGTCGGTCTCATACATTCTGCGACAAGACAGGACCTGATCAGGATGACCATAAAGGTATTAGAGGAAAATATGTCATTGGCTGCCGAAAGTGGAGAAAACCAGGTTGTGGTTATTTTCGACATGGACGGATTTAATTTGCGTCAATATGCTTGGAGGCCAGGTAGTTTTGCACTCATTCTCATTTGTTATAAATTCAATTTAAAAAATCACATCGTATTTATTTTAGCTGCGGAACTTGTGATATCCTTGATACAGATGTACGAAGCAAATTACCCAGAGATCCTAAAAGCTTGTTACATCATAAACGGTAATTTTAATTAATCTATACGGCCGTTGATGACTGAGTTGTAATTTGTTGCAGCCCCAAGAGTATTCGCCATAGCTTTCAACGTTGTCAAGAAATTTCTGAACGAATACACGTTGGGGAAGATTCAAATATTCAAAAGCGACCCGAAAAAATGGAAACCTGCGGTTTTATCAAATATTACGCCGGAGAATTTGCCGAAACACTACGGTGGGGCGCTGGTTGATCCCGATGGCAATCCGAGATATTCTACAAAGGTATCACTTTCGATTGTGCATAATTAATTTCTTCCGGAGTACCGCTACAATTTCAAAGTTATATTTTAACATGTGTTACATTTTAGGTTAAATTGGGTGGAAAAGTGCCGAAATCCTATTACACGAAAAAGTTGGAAGTTCCCGAAAATGGACCTAAGAAGGAATACACTGTGGCTGTGATAAAAAAAGGTCGAACATTAACTTTGGATTTTATTGTTGCCGAAGAAGGATGTTTTCTCAGGCAAGTGCACATTTCTTATTACTATTTTGATGTACAGAGTGTTTCCAATTTCATAATCCAAGCATTGCCTAGTGATAAAACATTTCTAGATCCACGAGTCGGAAAAGCTAAGTTTCCAAGGTAAAGGTGTTGAAGTTAATATTCGTTTTCAAAACAGCAGTTTAGTAGCGATGGAAAAAAAACAAAAAAAAATATCACGAGATGTAGTTTCAAGAATTATTCAAGTCTTATCGTGTTATCTTGCGGGTAGTCGCCAGTAGAGGCGTTTAAAATATAGATTTTACGCGATAATAAAAAAAAAAATAAAACAAATGGTATAAGTTGGATATTCTTAGACTTCATAGAATAAAAAATAGTACCTGCCCTAAATAAATCAAGCAAAAACCAAAACATTCGCAGTTAAAGAAAATTGCTTCAATCGGGGACAGCGTACTTTATTACTCAATTTTTTTGTTTCAATTATGTAAAACATTTCACTTACCTGTTGAAGGCAATACCCCTCCTGATTGTCCCAACAAAAGTAACACACGATGATACTAAAAAAAAGAACAGAAAAGCAGCCCCTCACAATACAATATTCGCAGTAGGTAATTTTTTAAAATTTACTGGGACGTTTTTAGATGGGATTTTCGTACAGAGGGTCACGACATCCGCTTCGGCGTCACTCTGAAGGACGAACAAGGGGAGGAGAGCCCCGTGGTGCGCCATAGGAGGGTGGCGGCGCACCAGATCGACGAAAGCGGCGTCGTGGCGTGCCAGGCACCGGCCACGTGTAAGTTCTTATGTAGGGCAGGGAGTATAGGTGAAAGGTACTGGGTGTTCCAATTTTCCGTGTACATGGAGCTAACAGTGATATCAGATGCCAGATTTTAAGCAAAAATTCCTTAGTAGTTAACATTATAACCCCCTTTTTTCTATTTAGGAAAAAATGGTAAAGGTCAATGTTCTATCTAGGAAATTTTCTTGCAATTTCAATGATATATAAAAAACAATTGATTCCTGTATTTCTATCCAAAGTTGCTTCGTTTAGCCACTAGAGGTAGTCAAAGTGGCAAACAGTTATATAGTTTTATTACAAATAGCTACGACGTTTCGCCCGATTTTAATGAAATTTGCTAAAATCATTGATTCACTATAGCAAGAGTTATTTATGATGTAGTTGCGCCAAAGACTTTAAAATAAGTCATACTCTAAAATTTGTTATTGGTGTATTATATGTATATAGAAATTGTGGCGTAGCATCAGTTTGGTTCTTCTCGTCGTTTATTTATGGGAAAATAAGATTTTGTTTCATTTCGCTGGCTTTTGAATTACTTATTTTTTTTATTAAATGCCATCATACTTGTGAAATAAGTTAGTTATATTCATTTAAAAATAACAAAAGTGATTCATAAATCATATATTTTTTAAGTTATTTTCTCTGTTGTAAATCTTTTTTACTTCTGTTTTTCTTGTACGTAATTAATTATTTTATTAATCTAATTTAACTGTCGTCAGAAATTTTATTTATATTCACTTCAGAAACTTGTTATCAAATATCTTCCTAGCAAACTATTGGAAATTATCATCATTTTCAGTAATACATAATTTAGTAAAAAAAATAACTCATTTCAGATTTTCCTCAATTTATAAATACATTTCTCTCTAATTTCGTGTTCCTCAACAATAATTGCCGTTTTTCAAATTTGATAAAGTTATAACTTACAGAATGGAAAATGCCCTAAATAACCACAACTTTTTTTATTGAATTGTGTTATTGCAAATGGTGCACGTTTCCGATAATTTTTGTAATGAACATTCGATTACACATTTAATTATTTTTAATGTACAATGCATATCCTCATTTTCTTTATTAATAAATCAAATATTTGATGATTATTTACAAAAATGCATGTGGAGATTAATAAAATGAATAAATTAAATGAAAACTATTAGGAATACAAAAAATATAAGCAACTAAAAAATAAACTTATTTTTGTTATGAGAGCTTGTTGTGATAGTACTTACCACTTTTTTAACAATATGTATTTTATTATTAGCATTCGCATTTTTGTTTTAAAGGTAAGAAGCTAATTCAAAGGCAATTTTTTTAAATTCCTATGAAATGAAATCAAACAGTGTTTTTAGATAGGTACCAAAAAATCTAGATATGCAAGAATATATTTTGGTATCGAATAACATTGACTACATTGATAGAATTTTTTGAAAAATTTAAAAATGCAAGAGCTAATAAAAATATACTACATATACAAAGTGTGTCACGAAAAGGATTATCTCAAAAAGTAGTCAGAATTGAAATCTGAAAATTTGTATACAGGGGTTTAACAAAAAGATCAATTCAATGTGTCAACTTCCTCGCACTTCCGGTTATACCTGTTATTTCAAATGAAATGTAGGTATATTTATGCATTTTTTAATTCTACGGCAAATTCTATAGTTCTATACTATTTTCATATAAGGTACTATGGGCAAAAATGTGCCAGTTTTCAAGTTATTATTAATATTCGAAAAAAATTGAGAGATGTAAGTTATTTTTAAAAATAGAATAACTCCGACATTTTGCTTTATTGTTTTAATGAAATTTGGCATGAATAATTTAAAAGCAATGGAATTCAACTAGTTTATGTCAAATTTGCAAAAATTCGTACAGAATGTTTAAAAACGTGTCCAATATTGCGACGTTGAAGTTGAATTTACTCAAAAATTTCAAATGGTACACCCTGTATATTGTTACATTAGTGGACGCAGAATTAAAATTACTTTAAAATGTTACTATGGTTCCCTATACCCAAAGTTAGCATTTCTTGTGTAAATTGGAAATTATTGGTTTCAACACAGAAAAATGTAAAAATATTGAAATCTAGTTACAACACTGTATGTGGCGCCCTCTAACATTAAACACTCTATATCTCAATAATCAAGCCGTTGCGACTCATGTTCATATGAACTTTTTATCTTAAAACTAACTAGTCACAGATTCACCCTTTAAAGTTTGTACAAGAACTTAATAAACATCCTGTATGTAATTTTATTCTATAAATATTTAATTCTATTTGCTAGTTTGTAATTGTAATATTTTCCTATCGTGGCTATTCCTGCATGTTGGTCTTTGCCAAAAATGATGTTAGAACAACAAGAATATCTTTAAAATAAAGTAAAAAAAGACTTATTACACCAAATTTAATTTAAATTTAGACCATGCTTTGGTCATTCGGAAAAAACAATTAAAAATTATGGCAACTTTTAAACGAAGCAAGTTTGGACAGAGGTACATCTAATTTCTCACCCATTTAACCTCCAGAATCCGGAATATCGAGGCACCCTGTGTATTTTGTTTATAAGTTGAGCGAATGTTTCTCAAGCGACGCCCAAAGATACCAAAACTCCTTATTTCAGATACCGTAATCTTCGACAACTCCTATAGCTTGATGAGGAGTAAAAAGGTTCACTACTGCGTTTACGTCACGCTGCCTTTGAATAAGCTGAACATATTACCAACCGACGAGGACCTTCAGAATTCTAATCAAATTAACGAAAAGAACGAAGCTGCTAGTCAAAAAAGCAGCGATACCAGTTTGTAGCCCGGGGGTGGTTCACCCTAGCAGCTTTAGGATAGTAATTTGCTCGAGGAGTTCATCGTATAAGCTTCTAGTCTGTAATTTTTTATATTTGTACAGAAAAAGTGTGGATGTGATTTTTATATCGTTGTGTTCATATCGCATTGTTTAAATTGGTGATCAGATTCATTGTATATTTTATTTCATTTTTTTAAACTCATTTCTCGGTGATTTAAATATTTTTAGTTTTCTTGTTGTTTTTCTGGATTTTAGATCTACTTGCGGTGAAAAGATCTACCTATGTACGTAATTCTTGACGTTTCGTCAATTTTTTTTGAGATCCCCAGGAACTTACAAGAATATTTTATTATAAAACAATATGTTGTTTAGTTATCCCAGTACAAATTCATCAAATTTAGTTAAAAAAATTAGAAATCAGAATATACTATACCTATTTTATAATAAAATTTTATCGTAGGGTCCTGGGGATGATGTCGAAATAAATGAATAAAACGTCTGCGATTAAATAAATTGTTTTTTCCCCACAAAACCCAGTAAAACAAGAATAATAAACATAAATTTATAGGTAAATGCATATATATATGCAACAGGTATTTACTGAAAAGTACTTCAACAGAATATTTGGTAAAACGGAATGTAAATTAATCCTCTTCGGAGAACAACATATTAACTAACTCGGGCTTCTCGCACTGTTCACCTTCTAATCTTTGGGGGCACTTCCATCTAACTATGGTCGGAAGAACCATCAGCTTTGTTTTTGGGTCTTTTCTAAACGGGCAGTTTGGATCTTTCCATCTAAAACATATACGATTGTGCTTTGTCATACAAAATGAGCTTCCGTTTGCAAAGATACTATAGTTTGTTCGATGAAACATTTGCCTTTTTTAAATTGGAATTAACTCTTGGTAAGTAAACTTATTGAAGAATAAATTTTGTATGAAAGCTACATACGTTGGACGATCGCCGACTTCTACATAAACAAAATGTGAATTGGGATCAGCTTTTTCTAATTCCTGTTGTATGACGGGCTTTGCTGGAAAGTAATTCAAAGATAAGTATGATAATTAGAATTGTACATCTAATTTTTTAAAATAAAATAATTTTAAAAAGAAAGTGACATTTACCAAAATTATATTTTAATATTTTTTAAATACCATGTTGCCAATGAATGACAGTTTGTAGAAAATTTAAATTATTTTTAGTTTTGTCAGTTGAGCAGAAAATTCGTTTTTTCTATACTCCATCTGATATACTTGATGTCATGTTCTCAAAAATAACAAAATAAACAACATAACCTATATCTCACCTCGTTCGCAATCATCGCACCAACTCTCGCCGTTTTCTAATTTAGAACCGCAAAAATACACATGAACTACTTGGCCTTTGCTGTCAAATTTGTCAATGAACTTGCGAAAATTATCATAGCCTTCTACGTGGTGTTTTATAACCATTTTACTTATTTACTACGAAGTACAAAACAAAAATAAACGCAGAACACAGCGAACTATAACGCCCCCTTCCCCTTCACACTTGCTCAGGCTGACTTGGTATTTGGTTTTGGTCGTGTGCTGTGATACTCTTCGACAACGGATTACGTTTTAAAAATCACGATTGTATCAAGTTATAATAATTATTGTTCTTTGAATTATTATATTGGAGGCTCTGCTGGAGACTGTGATTAAGATAAAAGATATGATATCTTCAGACAATAAAATAGAATTGTGCTGTAAGCTGTATAGAATTGCTATTGTTGAATATTAGATCTTTTATTTACCTATGGCATTTATCTTAATATTTTAAGTCAGATTTACAACTAACTTATTCACAATTATATCTAATTATCTATTATCAATTAATTGCTAGATACTTTAAAATCGTAGGTACCTATATTATTTTGATATTTTCTCTTTGTAATTCTATACTTTATTAAAAGTATGGCAATAACTGAACTGGCTGTTTTTTTTATTGAACTTCATCTGATATCTGATGGACAAATTTGTTAAAAGCAATAAAGTCAAATAATAACAGTTGTTTTTCTGAAACAAAAAAAAAAACGTGTAAATTGTGGGTATTGCTTGTGAATTATCAGAGAATTGTAACGACACGCCACTGCTCACCAGAGAAAAAGCACTGAGTCAGCTTGATGTTACGCAAATGCAAAAAGGAAGATAAGCAAGCGGCAGTTGAGATGAGACACTGGTTGAATATTCATAATATAGGGCCTCTTGAGGTAGTGAAATATTATGTCTAGCCCTGTGTTTATTTATGTTAGGGTACGGGATACCGATGTGGACTATAGGGAGGGCATTCGACTCTGAGTCTTGCTAGTATTCAGTTTATACTTATACATATACCTATGTATTATTTTTATCAAAGTATTATTAAAGTAATTTAAGATTATGTGAGTTGCTAATTACGGCTTAGCCTGACCACTACAGAATTAAAAAAAAATTTTTTCCAATAAAACTACAATAACATAAAAAATATTGTTTTTGACCGAAATACGAAAAAATCTGAGACTAAAACAATTCTTATTAATAAGTAGCGTTGTCTCTTTCTATTCATCCATTCATTCGTTGCAATTGAACAAGGACAAAACACATCCAAATGACCAAATGTCAGATGTCAGTACCGAACGCCAACTATGGAATAAGTTATCAGGGTTTTCAATTTGGAGGTATTGCAGTTTGCGCTAATGTTTCGATTTCATTTATAGATTTAAGAATAAAATGTTCAAAATAAGTAAGTTGCAATAAAAGGCCATGAAGGTGATGTGTTCTAGCGATTTACGACTAAAAAGTAAGTACTACTTCAGTTTTCTATGAAATTATACATTGACTACAAAAAATTTATAAAAATACTTTCGCCTTGTCCGCAACTATACATGGCGAACCAAAAAAATGATCACTGATGTCAGTATATACAGGGTGTCCCAATTAATATCTGCCTAATTTAAACAGGCGATAGTTATTTTTTTGAGAAACACACTTGTACTGTCGTCATTTTGCTACACAGATCTGAAACTTGAAAAACAAAGGATTTTGAGATGTACATGTTTATATGACTTTTCTATTTAAAAAATAAAATTAATTATGAACGTTTATGAAAAAATAGTAAACATGTTTCGGCGTTTTCCTGTTTTAAATTTGCAAAACTAAGTTAAAAAAGTTAAAATACTGAAAGCTAAGCTTTTTGCTATACGTAGGTATCTCCCCATGTAACACCTTAACTTACTTGTGGTAGGTACCTACAAAATTGTTTTCGCATTTTTATTCTGATATGAACGAAAATTTTTTTCCTCTTTTATTGTTAAATACGTATACTTACATTCAAATTAACAATTTTTCGGAATGTAGACTGCTAAATATTAGGTATGATCTGACCTTATTTTCTTTCCATCTACTGAATTTCTACAGTGTCTGACGTAGTTTAGTAGGTACGCAATGTTTGTACAGATAATATTTTGACCAGTTTAATAAATAATTATCTGACCACAATTTTACGAGACAAATAGCTAATCGTGCCCAATATTCAGAATTAAGATAACGATTGTCAGTCAAGCCTTTGACCTTTGACATGTGCTATGTGCTCAAATACGTATAACTACACGAGATGAATGCAGCGAAGAGTTGGGTACCCGTAGATTAAAGTTAAATTAATAGAAAAATGGTGCTGGTATTGCGTTTGTGTTTTGTGCTTATCTTGGTTTGCCTTACAAAGTGCGAGGGTAAGTAATTTTTTAAAGGCTAGCATATTTTTTTTGATAAGAATAACTAAGTTTTAGGTTAGTATTTACCACAATAGAATGTAATAATGTCAATGGAATTGATTTGAATATACTTAAGTACTTTTTAATTATTTTTGATTGTTTAATTTAAAAAAAAATTACAATTCAATTATATTAGACCTTTTAAAATGTTTATTCAATTTTTGATAATAACAGTCTTTTGTCTGTAAATAAAATTTCTTGTAAATTTTGAGCGGGGGGTATGAATTTCGAGATACCAACAATTATACATATATACAGGGTCCGTTAAATAATGGGGCAAGTTTTACCGTTTGATACTGTGACGAAAATTAATGGGAAGAATTAAACAATTAAGAAAACTAAAATAAAAATATAAACAACATTTTTTGTGTAACATAAATAATTAATTCATAAAATATACCAAGAACAACTAAATATAAGAAAAACATTAATTAGTTTAAGATTATTTTCGAAACGCCCCCCCCCATTTGACTGAAGACGTGATATTCAACAAGTCACCTTTTATGCTGAAAAATCATTGAAAATTTGAAAAATGTTACTTATTTCCGCTTTACGCAGCGGTGTATTATTTATTTTTTAGAAAAGGTTTTCCAAAAAAAAAAAATTGGACACCACTATTTTTTTGTATTGACGTGAAATCGCAGCAAATGTAGGTCTCCGTTAAAACTCCTAATATCAAATTAGAAAAAAATCCCTTAACGTATCTCCGAGATATCCCTGAAAATGCGGTTATTTTTTTTCAACTTCTACACCCTGTATCTCGAAAATTAAGCGTTTATGAGCTACATTGTGCAAATATTGAGTGACAAATTGTCTCAAATAAGTGACAGGTTTTTATAATATTTTTTTGTACTAAACCTAGGTTAAAAAATACTTCCTTCAGCATGACAAACAAAATTTACTACACAGGGTGATCCCGAGGTAATAGGCCAAAATTCATGGGTAGATTTCCCCAAGTAAAAGTATTGCGATTTAGCCGAACTTACCTTAGTCCAAAAGTTGATAGTTAAAGAGATACAGGGTGTTAAATGTAAAATATTATTTTAGTTTTTTTGCATTTATTCCTTAACAAATACAAATATCTTCACAAAATTTTGAGGTTTGGAGTTCTTTGGGTAGAGGAATTGAAATCTGTTCATATTTTGGTTAAAGTTCATAGAGGGCGCTAGCTGTAGTAGATTGAATGTATTAAAAACAAACTTTTTTAAGGTATCTAATCTTTGGTATCAAATCCTTATTTTCCACCTTTTTTTACACAAAAAAGGTATACTTTATGAAAGTAGTTATCTCGCACCGCTTTCGAGATATTTGGATTTGAAACTTCCAATGCTGTTGCATTAAATTACAATTAAGTGCCTACAGGTTTTATTAATTTAGCGGTAAAGTTTCTTAAGTGGGATTTGGACTAAAATCAAATAATTGACGTCTTCCACTTGTCTTATTGCTGTCATTTGTATGCTAATTTTTATTAAGTATTATTCGTACCTAATTAAAATTACATCTTAGCTCACAATTTAAATTGTAGACTTAGTATACATAAATGTGAGATAGAATGCCGAGATTTTCGTCTTTGGAGTTGCATGAAACCAGTTGTCTACGGAGAAACTATAAACACCTGAGAAGAACTTTAGCAGCAGGTTTTAAATGCTGCAAAGTCATTTCGCGTTAAGGATTTATACTTTAAAATAAGACAATCTTTTAATAAGCGTGCTGATAAATGTATTGAAGTTGGAAGTGGACATTTTGAGGAATTATTGTCAAAAAGGCATATTTTTTACTAATGTTTACTATTTTACTGTTTATTACAATTTTTAATTCTAAATAAGGCCTTGTTTTCGACATTTCTAAATTATTTTAATTATTTCAACTACTCGCATTGGAAGTTGCAAAGCCATATATCTCGGAAACGGTGCGAGACAGCTACTTTCATAAAGTTTACCTTTTTTGTGTAAAAAAGGTTGGAAAATAATTGATACCAAAGATGCGATACCTTAAAGTACAAAAGAGTTATGTCGTTTTCAACACATTCAATCTGTGGCAGCTGGCGCCCTCTATGAACTATAACCAAAATATGAACAAATTTCAATTCCTCTACCCAAAAAACCCCAAACCCCAAAATTTTGTGTAGCTATTTGCATTTATTAATATTTTTTGGCATAAAATGATCGAAAACAAAAAAATTTACGAAATATGTCACATATTTTAATCTTATCTTAACCAAATTGAAAAAAAAATACAATTTTGAAATATGGGAAAATAATAACTCTTACTAAAAATTTACAACTTGTTTTATTTACTGACAAAAGGCTGTTACTCCAGACTGTTTATTTGAAAATTACACCGCTTTATTTTTTTCTGTAATGCCACTTGCTTGTTATCGTAGTATGCTTTACGTACCACCCTGTATTTGAATTCTCTAATAAGAACAGGACTTTGAATGTAATTCCTGTGTTTCTCGAAAGATGCCCCACCGCAAGCAGCTCACCCCTCGGCCTCCGACCCTTCGGGGTTGCACAACGTCACCCACCAAACCGAAAAGAAGTTCAGCGAAACCGTCCTGTCTATGCTGGACCATTTCAAGCAACCGGACCCGGTGGGTCTACCAGGAGCGCCCATACCCGACCCCATGGACATACCCAATATGAAACACTCGTTCTCGGTGGGCAAAATGACTTTTTTTAACGTGAAACTCTACGGCTTGAAGAATTTTCGCATCGACCACATAAACGCAGACCTGTCGGCTATGAAAGTAGAAGCGGCTCTGACCATCGAGAAGCTCGACGTCATTGGGAATTACACCTTAAGTGCTTTCTTCTCGAAGTCCAAGGGTCCGTTCACTGTAGTGTTGACGAAGGTGTACGTTGTCGCTATCGCAAGTCTCGAGGTCGAGAGGAAAGGGCAGTTGGAGGCACAAGAGATGGATATGGACATCAAGTTCAAGGATATTTCCATGGATTTCAAGGGGTTGGGTTTCTTTGCCAACATGTTTCAAGGTGAAAATTGTTTTTTTTTTTTTTTTTGGTTATGCGTGGTGTCCAGAATTAACCTGCGATCTTTAGTGTAGCACATTCTACGACTGAAGTAAGGAAAAAGGTAAAACAATTCGACATACTATGCTGTCCAAAAAGTAAGGTGGATGTGTTTAAAAATTAAAAAATTTTATTTATGCTACCAAATCAATTTCGTCGCCTTCAAAGTAATTTCCATCCACGATACAATGCAACGTTTTTCCTAACTCTCGAAACAGTCTGAAAAGTCCTTTTCCGGTATAGCCTTCGATGTTTTCGTCAATTTCCTTCGAATCGAGTCGAAACGGTATCCACGGAGTGGTGGTTTCAGTTTAGGGAATAACCAAAAGTCACTCGGTGCTAAATCAGGCGAATACGGTGGTTGCATAACGATATGAGTCGAATTATCGATGCTGTGTGAGTCGGTGCATTATCATGATGCAAAAACCAAAAGTTGTCTGTCCGTAATTCTGGCCTTTTGCGGCGAATAGTATCATGTAAACGACACATAACATCTAATAATATTCCTTGTTAACAGTTTGGACGGTTGGTTGGGAGAAATTTTTCTTTAAAGTCTTTGTACCACTTGTAAACATTTTTTTGCGACAACCTCATCACTAAAGGCATTCTGTAACATGCTCAAAGTTTCCGCGGCAGAATATTCATTTCGTAAACAAAACTGCAACTTCTTTGCTCAACAAAATCAGACCTAGTGAAAATCGATAAACTCGCTTTCGTATGTTTACTAAAACATGAGTAGCTCTGCAGCAATTGAATATATCGACTTGAAACTCTGCATAGATATCAAGGACAGTACTACCAACACCAACCTAGAAAAAAATAATTGTATGTTTCATTTATTAAAGATTTATTACCAAATTTTGATCATAAGTAAGATAACAGTTGTTAAAAATTGCTCCAAAAATAGCAATTTTACAGTAAAAAAGAAGATTCGTATCATATCGATAGGTTGTAATTAAACTGGATAGGCCAGGAAAATAAGCTGGGAAATGACCATTTCGCGACTTTTTGTTTCGGCAAGCTGAATTTATCACTATAGATGCTAAATATTATGTACAATAACATATTAGTTTCCACAGTCATAAAAATGGGGGGAAGATTGTTTATATGCTGGTTAATTGTATAATTTTTACGTAAATTCACATTTTTCGCTTATAACTTTTTTCCATTCATTTCCACGAGAAAACATTACAGTACTTTTTTTCGTCTTCAAAAGACCTTCAAAACTAGCCCTCGAGCGTCAGAAAATATTGATTAGATTAAAAGTTATAAACAGAAGAAGTTTATTTATGACTTGAATGAAACATTTATAAACTGCGTTATTATTACCAGAACGTTTTAGCATCGCATACTCGCATTCCTTATCACTGTCTAATTACTCACACGAAATCTGGAATCGGTAAGTTGAATAGTTTATAAGCCTATGGCCTTATAAACAAATTAACCTAATTATTAGTCTGGACGATCCCGAGCACTTTCCACAACCGTACTGATTTTTTTCTTGGTAGATTTCATAATAATACATTGAAATCTATAATTTTTTTTTTATTTAAATTTCAATTTTGCAACCTGGATTTTTTTTTAGTCTTAGTTGCAAAATGATGTATACGACGCACGAGGGTGATAGTTATACAGGGTGTTTCATTATCAATGGGAAAATCGAAAGCTGAAGATACTACACGTGAAATGGTGACCATTGGCGCAAACATGCCTTATCCGAAAGTTGATAGTTTCGGAAATACAAGGTGTTGAAAGTTAAAATTTTAAATTGTTTCTTTAATCTTTCTGATTTAAGGGATTAAATCTTTTTTATTTGTAAATTATTATGAGGAAGGATCATTTTTATAAAAACTCCTATTTGTGCCCAATATACACGAGTATTAAAAAAAGTTACTATTTCTTGATTTTATTTGTATAATCGTAGTTATGTCAATTTTTTTGAAAAAATTTAGTGTTCCTACACAATATTAATGAATAGTTATTGGTTATGTTGATTAAACATTATCTTATTGTTTTATAGTTTTCTTTATTTTGATTTGTGATCCTTCTTTTTGAAATTTTTTTTTTATTTTTTTTATAATAAATATCGTAACTCGTTTTACATACCTAATATTGTTATTTCAAATTTAAAATTTTTTCACGCAACGTCTTAAAACGTTATTTTTTAACAATTTTTATTCAAAACCTAATATGTAGTAATACCTATCCCGTTCCAAACTTAATTGTTTATCTCTAACAGTTTCGAAGATATTTCGAAAATCTACACTTTATTCAGTCAAGGGTCTGTAGCAGTTAGACCAGGAAATTTAGCCTGAAAATGACTATTTCTGGCATAATGCTCATAAGTGCCTGATTTTTTGTGAGAAGGTAGAAAAAGTGGTATATAACAACATATCTTTACCCGTACAAAATCAAAAAATACCATTTTTGTTTATAAGCCATAGAAACTATGATTTTAGTGAAATTTCACGTTTTTAGCTTATAACTTTTGTCCGGACGATTTTACCGCAAAAAAGTAAAATTCTTTTTTGTTTGTCTTTTCAAGACGAACAAAACGAACCCACGTACGAAAAAAAATATTGATCCAATCAAAAATTATTAATAAAAAACATTAATTTTTTGCAATTTAAATAAAACCCGTATTCGCGCTAAATTTTTTATTGGTATATTTCACTATAGGCTATCGGATCCCATTGTTATTTTTCAAAAAAATTCTATTTTGCCACCTAGGGAATTTATTTTGTAAATTTGCTTAGTTGCAAAATGAAATATTTACTATATTTTAATACTTATGCGTTATTTCATTACATACATCGATAGAGCTTTCAAAGTTCTTTATTTAAAAAAAAAATCGTCAAGATTCGTTAATAAACAAAGGACCTACGGGCAGTCAAAGTTGACGGTCTATTGTTTAAACATTTAGATGAGTATCGAAAAAAAAATATATGGCCGTGAGCGGAAGACGTAGCACTGTCTTTCAATAAAATATCAAGTTTACGGGGGCGTGCTAAGTAACTTTAAATAATTGTTTAAAATCGGCCAAGCAATCGAAAATCCAATAGCTCACGCGCGGCGGCGGAGTGGGGGAAGCGATCGAGACGCATCTTCACTACCGAAAAAAACTGTTCGCGCGTCTTCAAAATCAACAGGGCGCAACTGTGACATCGCTTTTCTCGATAACTATTTATGATAAATGACTCATTTTTTTTAAATTTAGTACTACGCGGCGAAAGGAATCTATTTATGCCGCTTAAAATAACAAATTTTGATAAATACAACCGTCAAAAGCGCATTAATAAAATATGCATATTTCTTTGCTACTTATTATGAGATTATTTATATTAAGAATTTGATGAAAATGATAATGCAATTACCTGTTGATATCAACAGTTATTTTTAATGAACAATTGCAATTATTAATTGTTATAAAAACTTAAAAAAATATATATCATGTATAAACACTATATATTATACGAAAACCATTGCTTAAAAAGATTATTTGTTGTATTTTCGACATTGACATTAACAATATCCGCGAATATTTAAGTAATGTCAGTGCAAAGCATTGTTGCCACTTGCTCTGTCGACTAGCTAAATCAAAGAGTGATAGCAGGTAAGTTTCGTAGGTCAAGAGCATAGTTGCCACTTCTACTTTTGGTTACAAAGCGAAGGAACTAAGGACTTTGACTGCCCGTAGCTCCTTTGTTTATTAACGAATCTTGACGATTTTTTTTTAAATAAAGGTCTTTGAAAGCTCTATCGATGTATGTAATCAAATCGCGCATAAGTATTAAAATATAGTAAATATTTCATTTTGCAACTAAGCAAATTTACAAAATAAATTCCCTAGGTCGCAAAATTGAATTTTTTTGAAAAATAACAATGGGATCCGATAGCTTATAGTGAAATATACCAATAAAAAATTTAGCGCGAATACGGGTGACCCTCAAACATGTGGGGATTGATTATTAGTTAATTTGTTTATTAGGCCATAACTCGCAAAATATTCAACTTACGGTTTCCAGCTTTCGCACAGATTATTCGTCAGTAAAAATGAATAGTTGGAGATAAGCAATACACATCATTGTTATTAATAAGCTTTTTATTAATGTTTATTTAAATTGCAAAAAATTAATGTTTTTTATTAATAATTTTTGACTGGATCAATATTTTTTTTCGTACGTGGGTTCGTTCTGTTCGTCTTGAAAAGGTAAACAAAAAAGAATTTTACTTTTTTGCAGTAAAATCGTCCGGACAAAAGTTATAAGCTCAAAACGTGAAATTTCACTAAAATCACAGTTTCTATGGCTTATAAACAAAAATGGTATTATTTTGTACGGGTAAAGATATGTTGTTATATACCAATTTTTCTACCTTCTCACAAAAAATCAGGTTTTCCTGGTCTAAGTGTAGCCAACTCTAATATAAAATTTGTCACAGAATGTGCTACTAAAGTATCGCAGTCTAAATTCAGAACACCGCATAACATTTAAATGTTGTCTTGAATGCAAGTTAATTTTACATTACCGTTTCCTGCAAAGGTGTCATGAACTCTGTCGGAACCTTCGTCTTCGACAGCATAAAGCCCTTCGTCCTGAAGGAGGCCAACACTAACATCCGAAACGACGTTAACAAAGAGGTGAAGAAGTTGCCGCAGAGGTTCCCCAACTCTATATCGCCTTTCGATCAGCTGATCGCGGAACTGAGACGGAAGGTGAGGGACAAGGGCTTCGATCCTTACAAAGTGCAAGATTACAACAGCAGCGCCGGCGTTTTCGACATTTATCTCACCCACACCTGGTTGTACGGCGTGGCCTCCTTCCACAGGACGAAGGACATCAAATTCGAACTTAGAAATAAGACGGCGCATATGCTCGTCGAAGTCGGTACACAGAGATTGATGGGCACCACCAACTGGGATATTTCCTTCGTTGCTGGGATGCTGTCCAGAGCTGGGACTGCGTCGTTTACGGTTGAATACATTAGGGTAAGGTGTAACGCACCCTAATTATAATTTTAACTAACCATTTTTATGGTTTAGGTACAAGCGAACGCCAGTCAAAGCTTAGACACTAGTCAACATCCTAACCTAGACGATATCCAGGTGGAATTAGGCAATATCCAGGTCAGATTCGACGGTCTGGGCACTGTGGATTACGTCATAGAATTGGCCGTTAATGTGATTCCTAACCTTTTGCGATACCAGATAATGGACGCTTTGGAGAAGCCCATAAGATTAAAAATCCAGGAAGCCTTAGATCAGGTAAACGTGGAGAGAATCATCAAGGAGAACGCTAAGAAATTGGACAGTGGGAAGGGGTTAGAAGGTCTAGAGTTCCTTTAATTATTTTAAAATGTGAAGAAATGGATTGGTAATGATATTTATTTTTCAAATACATATTCAGCCACAATCTCTTAACACCTATTTATAAAGTGCGATGAATAAATAATAAACAGGTTTTTTAAATTTATACGTTGTTTGTATGTATTTTTCTTTACTTTTAGTCCAATCAAAATTAGATGCCAAAATTTAGTTCTCCGGTAATTGTGGACCAATTTAGAATGCATTTTTTTCGATATCTTTAACCGTTATTATAAAGGTTAAGAGTTGATTGATGTACTCCCGAAACTTCAAGTCTTAATTTTTATAAATCAACAAGTAATAAATTTAAAAAAAAAAACGCTATCTCGGCTAAAAATGGCCCTAGAATATATTTTTTTTAAATTCATGAAAAATTACCAGGATTACGAATTACACAGCGGCTTTAAAAAATATTCATTCTTCTCAAAGTTATTAACGAAAAACCTTATAAACAAATTACACTATTTGTTTATATGCCGTTTTTTGGAAATTACAATTTCCAATTGCATATCTTGAAAATATAACAACCGTGATTTTGCAATTGAGAAAATGCTATTTCTAATAAACAAATGCAAAAACTTTTTTACCAAATTTTCAGGGTTTCTTAAGCGTAACAAAATACAACTTTTACTGCAGTTTAGAAACGATTTATGCTCTTTTTTCTATTTATAGCAAATTCAAATTCGCTGTTTTTTTGCAATTATTTAAACAAATTGTTAATGGATTTTAATTTAGCAGGTCTCAAATGAAGCGTTTTCTGAAAGTATAAACAACTCCTGTTGAAGAGCGCTTTTTAATACAGCTAAAAAACTCAATTTTTGGTAATTTTTAAATTATAATGATCTTGTTGTTTTAAATCGATACTTTTTGGGAAATATTATTATTTTTTTGCTAACTAATGATTAAACTAAGTTTCAATCCGAAACCTTTTGATTTACACGTATTACAAATTTCATTTACTAGGCTATTTACCCCAGCTGAATATTAGGGCTCTGTTTTCAAAATGGCGTCCAAAGTTCGCAAAATTTAAAAAAACAAGTAAACATTTTAGAGAAAAATGTTTTAGACAAAAGTTATAGAACTTTTTATACAGATGTCAATAATTGATAAACAAATGTATTAGTTATTGAAAAAAACGGCTAAAAATCGCATTTTTTAAAAACTTCTATATCTTTAAAACGAAAAAAAGATATTTTTACGAAACTTTTAGAATATGTAGTATAAGTAGAATAAGTGAATTTTTGTAAAATTGCAAAATATTTTATAGTTTTTGTAAAATTAAATTTTTAGAAAAAAAAGACATTGTTTTCAAATTCCAACAAATCATATAATATTGCACTTACGTGACACATCTTCGGCTTAAAATTTTCTCAGAGTTGTACTTTCCTGTGCAAATTCTGTGCGTATTGCCAAATAATTGGAAATATGCGAAAAATCTACGGAAACTTTAACTTCTTTTTTGGGGTCAAAAAATAGTCCTACGATCCAGCAGAAGCCAACAATATTATTATTTTTTGTTCAAAAAATCGCTACGACCTCATTTATTAATATTAAGGTCTGAAATTTACGTTATAGTTGAATACTTCTACTTCAATACAAAAAATAGTTTAGTTCGCAATGATTGACTGACCCCCTTTTTTCAATAAACTTAATTTTGTTGGGCCCCGTAAAATGCTTGTTCCGTTCGATACGTTGATGCGCGTGGTGGGGGGAGAAATGCTGTGACTCAACGTTCTTAGTTAGTGCTTAATAAATGAGGTCGTAGCGATTTAAAAAAAAATTGTTTGGCTCCTGTTGGTCGTAGGACATTTTTTTAAATTCGTGAAAAAATGTCAGCTTTCAAATGGCAGTCATGCCATTTCGATTAAATTCCAGCGATAAGGAAAAGATCTACGTTTTTCGATCCGAAAGAAGAACTCAAAAGTTTCGGTAGATTTTTCGCATATTTCCAATTATGTTGCAATATGCGTACAATTTGCACAGGAAAGTACAACTGTAGAGAAAATTTTAAGCCCAAGATGGGTCACGTAAGTGTCATACTACTGTATGATTTATTGAAACTTGGAAAAAATTTCTTATTTTTTTAGAAAAACTCAATTTTTGTAAAAACTATCAACCATTTTGCAATTTTACAGAAAGTCGACTTGCCCACATTCTAAAAATTTCCCAAAAAAATATTTTTTCTTTTAAAAATATTAGTTTAAAAAAATGCTATTTTTAGGCTTTTTTCAATAACTAATATAGTTGTTTTTCACTTGAATCGGGATGGGTTCAAAATTTTTGTTATAAAAAATTCTACAACTTTTGTTAAAACATTTTTTTTTAAATGTTTAATTTTTTTAAATGAAAAGAACTGTTTTTTGCGACCTTTGAACGCCATTTTGGAAAGGAAGCACTAACATTCATTCAATTCTGCGCAATTTTTCCTAAATTTTACGTCTTTGTTTAGTGAACTAAATTTTGGCAAAAACGAGGTATTTTCGACAATTTGACTGGCCTATGAATACCTTTCTACTCGATAGCCACCTACAAGACCGTTATCTACCTGACCATTATTTTTTTATATTTCAGGATATATTTTTCTTAGCTCAAGTTATACATTTTTAGCATTGTTTAGATACTCTTTCCTTGGATCAGATATTTTTTTAGGTTAAATATTTTTAGAATGGGTATGATTTTTGTAGCGTGTAAAATTTTTTCAATTCTCTTTGAATTTTTAGCTTACAATTAGTGTCGCATATCTGCTCCACATTCTATTTCTATGATTCGCTTCTCATTTTTTTCTTACTTCAGAATATTTTTTTTAGTTGGGGTTTGTTATTTTTTAGCATGGCTTAGAAGATATTCTTTCCTTGGATCATATATTTTTTTGTTTAAAAATTTTTAGTGACTAAAAGATTTATCTTGTATTTCAAACGCAAATATCTTATAGCGCCTTTTTTTAAAACATCCACTACTCTTGCATGCTTTAGTCCACTCCAATAAAATAACACCTTACGATAATAAATTTTATTCATATATAACAAAAATGTATATAAAATTACAATATAAAAACATGACTAAGTGGTTAACTTTTCAAAATATACTTTACTATCATTAGAAATGGATCATAACCGCACATCTCCAATGTACTGGCTTTGCCGCTTCTTGGGTGCCCTCCTCAGACTGCCCAGGATATTGAGCAGCTCCGACACGGCTTTCGGCTGCTCCTTGTCCTTCTTCTCCTTATCGTTCTTAGCCTTCCTTAAGGTAAATTGGCCGGCCTTTATGGCGTTGATGATGTCCTCGTTGACGCCCGGCGCCGTTGCTTTTTTCTCTGGCGAACTATTCTCCTTTACGCCTATCGATTCCGCCAACTCCTGCAGGATTATTTTGCTCCTTCGTCTTCGCAGGGGCACCACGGGTGGTTCTTGGGATGGCGGGGGTAGGAGAGGCGGCGGCGGGGGCGGCGGTGGAGGTGGAGGCGCGGGAGGGGCTTTCAATTTTTCTTCCGCTCTATCTGCCCGTTCGTTGGCCGCTTGCAGCTCGGATTCTACCAGTTTCAAGCGCTCTTCTAGGATTTCTATTTGTGCGTTGTTTTGAGCGTCTTCGAGTCGCTCCTGAAAAAAAAAAAAATGCGGTCAATTGAAATTATTACGTATTCTATTGTGGTGCAAAAGGTAAACATGTAATTTTTTCCAGAATCCAACAAAAATTATCTAAATGTATGTAACAAAGTAAGAAAAAAAGCTTCCACTCCAACAAAAAATCATCTAACCTAATTACTCCAGTCGAATTAGATCATTAAACCTAAAAAAAAAAATACTATACAGAGAAGGGTTTGGAGAATGATTATATCAAAAAAGTAACTCAAAAGAAGTAACACTAAGTTGGTAAATTGCAAATAAGTAAATTGTAGGTAATTTAATTGCCTATAACAAATAGTCCAGGCGGTATGTATTTTAAAAATGGTATACCGACAACTTAGCAATTTTAGACAAAAATTGAAGAGAAAAAAAAAGTTTTGTAATTAAATTTTGATCAAGATAGTTAGTTGCAATTCGAAAAAATAATAATTATTATTGCAAAAATCAGAAAAATCATTTAAAAAATTGCAAAAAAATGCTTTACTATTATTTAGTTTATTTGTCAATTTTTTTCAGACACCTGAATAATACCTAGGATCTTCATTCCCAATTCGGTTCGATAGTTTTTACATAATACCTAATTTATTTTTTTTTTAAATTAAAACATTTTCAAATTCAAATTTCTAAAAATCTAAACCCTTTGAATACTTAAAAATTTCACCACAAAAAGAAAAGCTCTCAAGCTTTAAAATGGTTTTTGAAAAATTCAAATCGGACGATTAGGTGATTGTTTAAACATTTTCGCAATTTTCACGCTTATAAACAATTTTTTTTATTTTAAAATATGGTTTGAAAGTACTCGGAAAGACGAGTATTTAAAAAAAACCTGATGATCCGCCCATTATTTTCGGAGTTATAGCCCGTTAAAGTTAACCCTTATTTAAAGCAAAACTGTAAGAGTATAAGGGCTGTTTTTTGAACTAATAGGTATGTCATTCCGAGTACTTTCCAGATATAAATTTTCAAAATTTGCAATCACGGGCGTCCCATTTAAAATGTCACTCAAAAGATATTCAAGACCGCGTGAAATCAATGAGATATCAGTGGTGGTGGGAGCAAACACAGTTACTCTGATCTGAATTCTCAAGTTCGAAACTGCGACGCTCGGAAAAATTTCACTTATCTCAGCTTCTAATGGACCAATTTCGATGATTTTTTTTTAAATCGATGTCTCGCAACTTAAAAAATTCAATTATCATATTTTCAACTACCTTTTATTATTAATTATTGGACTTTTGACATGCCGATAAACAGTTACTTTAAAAAATGATTAATTTATTATGTTTATTTATTTACTATGTTAATTTTCACGACCAAAATTTTTGCATGTTGCACCATGTTGTTGGTATTAATTAAGTATCCAAAAGATTCTTATACTTTTTTTTATAAATAAAAAATAAATTTTAGATAAATATTTTAAAAGTAAACGAAAAAATTAAAATTATAATTATTCACAATTTATTTTTTTTTGAAAGATTTTTAGAAATTTATCGTACAACTAAAAATTAATACCAATTTTCAGTTGTTTATTTAAATAATTATTGTTTAAACAATTTTATAATATTTAAACAAACTTACTAGTATTACCTGGTGCAACATGCAAAAATTTTGGTCGTGAATATTAACATAGTAAATAAATAAACATAATAAATTAATCATTTTTTAAAGTAACTGTTTATCGGCATGTCAAAAGTCCAATAATTAATAATAAAAGGTAGTTGAAAATATGATAATTGAATTTTTTAAGTTGCGAGACATCGATTTAAAAAAAAATCATCGAAATTGGTCCATTAGAAGCTGAGATAAGTGAAATTTTTCCGAGCGTCGCAGTTTTGAACTCGAGAATTCAGATCGGAGTAGCTGTGTGTTTGCTCCCCCCACCACTGATACCTCATTGATTTCACGCGGTCTTGAATATCTTTGAGTGACATTTTAAATGGGACGCCCGTGATTGCAAATTTTGAAAATTTATATCTGGAAAGTACTCGGAATGACAAACCTATTAGTTCAAAAAACAGCCCTTATACCCTTATAGTTTTGCTGTAAATAAGGGTTAACTTTAACGGGCTATAACTCCGAAAATAATGGGCGGATCATCAGGTTTTTTTTTAAATACTCGTCTTTCCGAGTACTTTCAAACCATATTTTAAAATAAAAAAAAATTGAAAAAACATTAAATAATTGCAATTGTTTATAAGCGTGAAAATTGCGAAAATGTTTAAACAATCACCACGGCTCACCTAATCGTCCGATTTGAATTTTTAAAAAATCATTTTAAAGCTTGAGAGCTCTTCTTTTTGTGGTGAAATTTTCAATTCAAAGGCTTTAGATTTTTAGAAATTTGATTTAGAAAATTTTTTAATTTGAAAAAAAAAATTTAACAATTAGGTATTATGTAAAAACTATCGAACCGAATTGGATGAAATTTGGTCTGATGATTCTATGCACTAAGAAGTTTAATTGGGAAAAGTATGAAGATCCTAGGTATTATTCAAGTGCCTGAAAAAAATTGACAAATAAACATTCTTTGCAATTTTTTAAATGATTTTTCTGATTTTTGCAATAACAATAATTATGTTTTCGAATTGCAACTAACTCTATCCTGATCAAAATTTAATTACAAAACTTTTTTCCTCTTCCATTTTTGTTTAAAATGAATAGTTGCTATGCTGTTGTCGATGAAAAATCTAAAAAAAAAAAATGAATTTTTTTTGCTATTTTTTTATACATTTTTGCAATAACAATTAAGCCCACGTTTTTTTTATTTGCATAGAAATTTTATCATTTCTGATGTTAAGCAAAAATCTCCGATCATATGCGTTTTGCCCAACCCGAAACAGATACCACCTGAACTAAAAATGACTAATTTCCCGATAAGTCGTCTAGATTTTCGTGGGCACTAAAAAAAGTGACAAAAATACCTAAATTTGCTCATTATTTGCAATTTGCCGGCGTAGCGTCACTTCTTTGGAATTACGTTTTATAATATTACCATTCTATCTTCCTCGTCATAAGGTGTAATAAAATGTCTGCTAATAATTTTTTCACGTTCAATATCTAATTCAACTGGAATAAATAAATCTTCTAAATATGTTTTTCGTGTACTATATTTTTGTGGGTGGTTAGAAAAGAGAGCGGGGCAGGAAGATATGCGACACTAAGCCTAAAAATGCAAAGAGAAGCTAATAATGTCAATCACGTTCCAAAATTGATACCCAGTCTGTTTGTCTCTAACTCAACATAAAACTTATCTATCGCTAAAAATCATCCAACCATTTTGAGTCAATATTGTCATAAAAATTTAGTAAAATTTTCTAATTATTCGTAAATTCATCTAATACAATCTTACAATCACTTAAACGGAATAATTTAAATTAGACATGTGTAAAACAGATTCAATTTGTACCTGTAACAGACTGATATCCTCTTCGTGCTTATTCCTTTCGTCCTCCAAGCTCCTTTTCAACTCCTCTATTTCCTGCAGCAGCATCATGCAGTCCTCTCCGTCGGAATTTTCAGACAGGCCCTGCAAGATCAGAGTGCTCTGGTGCGCCAGTACGTTCCTCTCCCTTTTGTTGGTGTCAGCTTCTATTTTTAACGTTGTCAAGTTGCCCCTCAATTCCTCCTCGATCTTTTTCTGTTCCTCCAGCTCTTTCTTCATCATTTCCGTTACCCGAAGAATCTGATCGTGTTCCGTCATTACTTCGGCTAGCTTAGATTCCAGGCGTTCATTCTTTTGTCTTTCAGTTTCAAGTTCCTAAAAAATGCACATATAATCATCTCTACGTCCTGATTTCTATGATTTAATTAAATAATCAAGTAATTAAAAAATAGTGGTTTTTAACTAACCTCCGCCAGTTTCACATTCTCCTCCGAGGTCTGAAACTCCGTCTGCTTCAGCGAATCCACCTCCGTCTGCAGCTCGGCTACTTCCGTGCTGAGCTGCTTGATGGTCTTGTTCAAATTCTCGATGTCGTTATCGGAATTAGACTCCCCATCGCCCGCGTCGACCCCCTCGTCGACCGTATCTTTGTCCACTAGGAGCAGCGTCCGCCTCTTGAGCACCTTGTTCTCCTTGTACCAGTGCGTGGCGTCCTTGAGGGCCCTGAAAAGTTTACGGTACATCAGCGCGGCGTACACACATCGAATTTTTAGCAAATCGCCGTCAAAGTGACAAATGGGGCGGGAGTTTTTAAATTTGGAAATGTACGCACCTTACGTAACTTGTAATATTCAAGTCTAAGACGATTTTGGCACACACCGCCAGGAAGATGCCGGCGGAAATCAGATAATCGCAAGGATGGGGTCTTTTAGTGAATGAATACTCCATTTGGGGGCAGTCACATGCGTACGTTGCCATAGAAGTGTGGCATTTTGTAATATTGCATTTTTTAATTACGTCGTGATGTGAATATAAGGTATGCCTATGCGCATGTGGTGACGTCACTTGAGAGAAAGGCTGACAAAATCATGGAATATATTCCTGAAAATGCATTATGTCGTTTTTCTAATAGTCCAAAGCTATTGTGACCTAAACATTTCCACAACATTCATTTTATTATGCAAAATAAGTAGCGTTTTTTCTTCAACCGTGACAAAATATTGAAGGTTAAATTCATATTTTAGATTCTACACATTTAAACTGACTTTTTACACGATTCACATCGTATGTAAATGTGAATATTACACGTTTTATGTCTTACGTACCACGATTAACTTAAATTGTCTGTTTTTATACAGGGTGTTTGTAAATAAGTGCGAAATATTTTAGGGGGTGGTTGCCGAAGTTTTTTGTGAAAAGAATTCATATAAACGTAGATCGAAATATGCTTCGTTTCCGATGTAGTGTTTAAATTTTAAATTTAAATTTTTTTTTAAATTAATTATTTCAGAGCTTGAAAGATATTGACTCGAAATTTAAAAAACGCTTGAGAGGGGTAAATGTGCATATTTCGACTTGCATCAGTGGCGTTCGTGCGAGAATGTCACAACCTTTTTTAATAAAAAAATGGTACGTCCTGAGTTTTTCCCGTTTTGATATTTTTTTAAAAATCCGCCATCAATTCTGAATGAAATTGGTCTCTTCAATTTTTTTCGTAGGATGCACCGATTTTGAAAAAAATAAAACATATTTTATGGCAAATTGTATAATTTTTAGTAATATTATTGATACATTATCTAGTAGGTTACTGTCCATATTTCTTAATAAAATACAACCATCAAATTTCGAGTCAATATCTTTGAAATACCTAATTAATAAAAATAAATAAAAAATTAAAATTCAAATACTGTATTTCGGAAACGAAGCATATGTCGATCTACGTTTATATTAACTCTTTTTCAGAGAATTGAATTTTTTAACGAGGCGAAGCCGAGTTAAAAAATTATTCGAGACCACCAAAGTAGTTCGCGCACGAGATGCAAACAATATTTTTTCTACAAACAAACCCCCAAAACCCCAATATCCCGAGCTGAACCCGAATTATCTGGTTTAGGAATAAATATTGGTTCGTGTACTGGTTGTACGATTAATGTTAATATTGTAAATAATAACTAAAGTTATTGTAAAATTCTATCATTATTTTAAAAGTATTTAATTGTTATTCATTTAAAAATAAATAATAATTTGGAGTTTTGCTTCATTTTTTCAAAGATTGAAATACAAAACTCTTATTAATTTACATGCAGTGTGCGAAATACTTCGCACCCTAGTGCGCGAAGTATTTCGCGCACGGTGTCATGGCAACGTAAGAATCCGAAAAAAAGTGACACTTCGCATATTGTTGTCAATGCGCAAACCTTGTCATTTTTTGACGTTTGTAGAAAAAATACTTTGACACCTTACAGTTTATAACATAAACCTTTAATTTTTAAACATATACAGACCCAAGTTACTATTTCAAATGCGAACTGTCAAAATTAATAGAAACAAGAAAATTGTCTAAATAAAGGCAGAGCCTACTGGACCATTTTAAGAATTTAAATTTCATCTATATTCCGCGGTCGAAATTATAGAGAGTGACTCAGACATAATATAAAAACACTATTACTATAACGCGTATAAAATATAAAATGATTTTTATAACGGTTCAATATTATTTATCTTTTTGCCGCTCGCTAAGCACATCGATAGAATCTATAATCGTCTATAGACTGAGTTACACTGAACTATATTCTATCTCTGTCTTTTGCACTTGGTAGGGAATAGGGAAATGCTTTTTTAGTGGGTGTAAACGGACTTGATTTACTCGTCATAGCATAGGCGTAGACGAGGGGTCTAATTCCGTGGCTATAATAAATTTATAAAATAAAAAAACAAATGGGACGTTTGAAAAAGCTGTAATAATTAAAATGGATCAAAGTGCCGGTTATAGCAAACCGTAAAAAAATATTAGATGTTATCTTTTATTATCTTTTTTCAATATTTTCTATATCTTGTTGCTTTTTACGCAGACACGCCAATGGATTTTCGTTCCCAGCACGCTTCATTCCCCTTCCTAGTCCAAAAGCTAGCGATGAGTCACTCTCTATAATTTCGACCGCGGAGTATAACGAATTACATAAAATCGTTTTTTATTTTTTTTCTAGATAACGGTCACAGATACGAAAAAATCATAAGAGGCAAAAAAGTTTTTCAACAAAACATAAAATTCAATTTTGATTTTAGAATCTACCAGCACTAATGATGTAAGCCCTACAGCGTAACCTATATTCCAAATTTGAGCTAAATATCTCAAAAACTGTGGGAGCTATAAAGAAAAAAACTAAAAAAAATCTTAAAATTTCAACGCCCTGTAGATCGGTAACGAAGGGTTTGCGCGCCTATGTTTATATAAACTTTTAGTCATGAAATAAACCAAAGAATTACCCCCTTCTTTATGTACATGATATTTAGGAACACCCTGTATATTATACATATTGCCAATTATTTTGGTCGAAACGATAGTCTGCAGGTCAGAGGCAAATTTTAAATTTGGGTATAAAGACGTGTACCAGTGGTAACGATCATTACCTGTAATTCCTAGTGATGTTTCTAAGAAAGAAAATGTGTTTTATTTTATTCCAAGTACAAAGTAATGGCAAGTGATTTTTTGTGTGTTATATTAATGCTACTAATATATTGCACTTACCCTGACATAGCCCTGGTCTCCGTCTCATATTGGTTTTTAAGAGTCTCATATTCTTTGTACAAATTTTTCGAGGCAGTTGACAGTTTCGTGAATTCCTCGTTTTTTTCGAACAGTTCCGTCTCTAAATGTTCATGTTTCACTTGCAGATTTAAGTACTTCTTTTCTATGTCGTTTAACGTCCTTAGAGCTGCAACGTAATTCGGTCGAAAATAATTTTAAATAGATCATCCCTACTTAGAAACATAGCGCACAAGTAAACAATAAAATGTTGGTTTCATTTAAAAATGTAATGCTTCTTTTAAAAATTTAACAAGACACTTTTAATTTTGAACATATTACTGATGATTGTAAAAAGTCGAATTGCAAATGTATCAAGTTCTTTACTTCCAAGTACTACATTTATAATTTGGAGAGTGTACTTCCTGGAGGGCCATATGGACCCCTTGAGTTATTTTTATGTATTAATTATGTGCAAATCAATTATTAAGCAAGTCTTACATAATACGATAATAATTCGACTAAAATAATTTGTATTTCTTTTATAATTTTATTTATAGAAGAAAATTTTTTCGTTGCAGAAACATTCTTATTAAAATTAACAATAAATTTCCGAACGTTAGGTACTTATTTAAATAAACAACTCGGTAACAAAAAAATTCTAGCATGTACAGTTCCAACAAGTAGAAACATACGTGCGCGTAGAATTTTCTTTTTTTCCCCACAAAGAAAATAGAAAGCAATTTCTCCATTATCCTCGAATGACCGCCCGACTGCATCCTTACCTTTCTCTTTCTCGGTCAGGAGCAGTTTCCTCCGATCTTCCGACTCCTCGTATTTCTGCTTCCACCTGTGGGCCTGGGGATCGTTGACGGGTATCTTGGAAGCGCCGCAAGGGCTCGAACAGTGCCTGCTCAGCTGCCTTCTTAACGGTATATTCGAATTCCCATTGAGTTTGCTAGTGGACAGGCTGTGCTTGTTGTTCATGGTTGCTTCAGGCCTAAAAATAGCGTCGTTTTGAAAGATTCGCCGCGGTATAAATCAAGATAAGGATGACGACAAAATATATTTGATCGAAAGACTGGACAATTTTACATTTAGTTTCAAGTAATTATTACATTAGATTTAAAAAAAAATTGCTTTTAAGTTGTATAGAGATTTCGCTAAAGTTTATGAGGTAGGTAACTTGGTACTAACGAAGGGGAAATTCAGTTTGTCACAACTTTTAACATTTGGTTTTATTTAATGAATAATCGATAATGTTTAGAGGTTAAGAATTCTGAAGGCACGAGATGCACGCGACGTCGTAACAGTGACAGGTCACATAAATTCAAAATAATTGAGATAGACCAAGCAAATTAAACTTTTACTCGAAAAAAGTCCTATCCGCAAGATTATTGTAAAATTGTCTAAAGGAACATAATACAAGATATCTCTCATCTCGTAAGTCAAAAACTTTTATTAGCTAACTCTATTTAAACAATTATGTGAGGAAAACAGTTTTTTCACTTTGCAGGGAAAACCATCAATTTTAGCGAAAAGTGACTCACGGACAGCTCGTAGGGGATAAAATTATCTACAAAATGAGACCCGTTAAATTAAGATCGGTTAATAAACAAAAAAGTTATTGCAAAAAAACAAGAAAAGTACCCATTTTTTAATTTGTTTATAACTATCGCATTTATTGTTAAAATTTTATAAAACCTCTGATAAGTTGAGGGTTTTGTCATACTTAAAAAGTGTGCCAAAAGTGGGCGCTGTAGGTGCAACAGTTTTCGCACAATTCAATTTGTTTATAACGGAGGCTCCAAAAGTTATGAACTTTAAGCCTCAGTACAGGCGTTAATTTTCAACCAAACATGATTCTGAAAGCGTCATTGTAATCTTAAAGACGTAATTAAGCGACCTATAAAAAATGTTTCTTTGACAGTAACACTCTCAAATTGTGCATTAAAAAACCGTGCGTTTTTCGCTTATAAACAATTTGAATAACATTGTTGTTTATGCTATCTCACCGAAAATAGATGCAATGGATAGCTGGCAAAAATACAGTTTTAAAATAAAAAAGTACCCTCTACGACCAACAGGAGCCAAGATAAGATTTTATTTTTAAATCGTAGCGCAATTGTTTATAAATATTAAGACTTGAATTTTTCGCAAAATAAGTTCAAATTGATGCGCGCTGTAAATTTTGCAATATCTCGGCTTCTATTCATCGTAGTAACTTATTTCTTTTTTAAACTGGGGTAGCTCGACGAAAAAATAACAATAGGCATATTTACGAATTCGTAGAATAGCCCTGAACCCCAGAAAAACTGCATCTTTTATACTTATTTTTTTTTAAGTTACAAAAATGTCACAAAAATTATTGTTAAACGAAATATTAATTAAAATTTCAATTTCGGAATTATTTCACTATTATTAAATAAATAAATGAAGCCCTCGTTCATTTAAAATGTTATTTTTTTTACATATTAAGGCAAAGTAAACTTGTTGTTTCAATATTTTGTTACGATTTAAATGTAAAATTAAAGTGAAAATTCATAAATTACTTTCCCATTTTTGGCACACTTTTGAATTATGACAAAACCCTCAACTTGTCATAGGTTTTATAAAATTTTAACAATAAATGCGATAGTTATAAACAAATAAAAAAATGGGCACTTCTTGTTTTTTTGCAACAACTTTTTTGTTTATTAACCGATTTTAATCCGATCTCATTTTGTAGATAATTTTACTCCCTACAAGCTGCTGTGAGTCACTTTTCGCTAAAATTGATGGTTTTCCCTGCAAAGTGAAGAAACTGTTTGCCTCACTTATTTGTTTAAATAGAAAAGTTATTAAAATAAAATTTTTTGATTCACGAAATGAGAGATGTCTTGTATTATGTTCCTTTAGACAATTTTACAATAATCTCGCGGATAGGACTTTTTTCGAGTTTCTCTTTTATTTTGAATTTTCCTGGTGTAAGATGGTTATAGACTCCTAAGGTCCTAAGATTATTTGAATTAAAAAAAGTAAATAAATAAATCAAGTCTGTGAAAGTCAGTTTTTATTTTTCATTTGCATTGTCGATCCACTACGAGAACAGTAACAGTAAATCGGTCCCATAAAACTCAAGAATGATATCGATTTGTTTATTTTCTCAGATATCATGACTTCCTTCCAATATTTGTATTTTATTTTTACTACAGGCTTTTATTTAGCTTAAAATTTTCTTGTATTGTACCCTCATCCTCTTATTTATAAAAATGTTTTAACTTTTGAAATACATCAACTTATCCTGGCTTGTACCTTTCTGAAGTGGCGGTCGTTCAAGACTAATTTGAATGCAAATCACAGAGCCAAAAAAGTAAAAATACTTAGCGTGTGAGTGGCATATGCCTTAAAACGTGACTTCAATTGTTTTCTAAGCACACTAGAGATCTGTGTACAAGCGGAACGACAAAATGACATACGTATTTAAGAAAATCATAGCAATCTCTGGGCTGATCAGAAGAAATATTAAATAAAATATGCAGGAGCTTCTAAATTACATTACTTAAATTAATAGCGTTTCTAGTACTCAGTTTATGTCTATAGCGATGTTTCCAGCTAATACCAATAAAAAAATTTACTATCGCGATTGCAGTTATTGCTTTGTTGTTGTTCACATATTATGCTTGTTTATTATTACGACTAGTTGACATTGGAATGAACCCTTGGGTTTGTGGAATACAATGAAATAGATAAGGTCAGTTAGCAACTAAGAATGAGACAAATTATGGGTAAAGATGTATTGTTGAATAAATTTGATCTTAATGTTTTTGATTTTTCAATTGAAAAAGAAAAGAGCAAGGAAACATACACAGCGTCTTTAAATTAAAACCATGGGCAATATTTTTTATGGTCGCAACTTTATTCTGAGGTCAAAAATAACTCGTCTCCACAGCAATTTTCAATTTTAATCGATAACACATTTTAATGTAATTAATCCATGGTTCTTTGCTTAATTTGCGAGTTACAGGGTGTTTAACTTTAAGTGAGAGAACATCTCTTATCAGATTTGAATTTATTGATGAACTTTAGTGTTTAATTTTCACGTATACAGATGCTAGACTGGGTGCTTTATTATACATTTAATTGATATAAATACTCGAGCTGTTTTAATTGATATGCTTAATGGTAACAGATCTTAACATGTGTTAGACTGGTTTATATTAAAGCGGTCTATTTTTGTTGTGAAACGATAAATGAGGACGACAATCACTTATTCAGAAAGTTGGTTGCTGAAATGTCACTTTACATTCGTTTTTTTTAAAAGACATATTAAGAAATATCTGGTTTACGTATAACTCTAATCGGTGTAGGCGAGAATTTGTCAATCGATATTTCATAAATATTGAAATTGAAAACAAATTTGCACAAATTTACTCCTAATAGTTTTAATTATGTAGACGGTATTTGAAAAAGCCTAGAGAAATAAACTGGTTTCCGAATTTAAGGACAAAATTCTCAAAAAATAACAACGAATATCTGGATCAAAGAAAAGATATTTTACTGGTTTTCCTATACTTTATGTTGTTAATAGGATTTTTTTTAATGAGAAATATACGAATGTTTTGTCTCTAGCAAATATTTTTGTATTACAAACAGGGCGTTAATTAGTTACGTCGACAAGCTTTAAGGGGTGATTGAGTGAATGATTTTAAAATAAAAAGGTCACATAAAATGGGTCCGCAAATCAAAAGTTTTCAAATGTCAAGGGTGTTAAAATTAAAAAATTAAATGTCACCTCTTCTAAAATATCTTTGAAGGTGTTTGATTTAGAATAACGAAGCTTAAGCTAATATTAATTTGGAATTTACGTTTCTTCTGAAGTTATACGTTGGGGTAAGTTACAAGATAACACCCCGTACATCGGCAGCGGACGTGCACTGTTTTAATTATCTCGCATTTCGTGGCGGTCTGGAACTGTTTCCTGTTAGGTCGAAAATAGCTCGTCGAGTTTATTCTTCAACTCTAAATACCCGCTCTTACTGAGAGTATTATTCCTGAAGAATTCGATTTTGTTTGGTTATAAATCAGCTTGTATATTTTTAGAAGAAATTCCACTTACTTTCATGGACAGTAACGACGGTAGAAACCGGCAACGAGAGGTGCGAACGAAAAGAAACACCGAGGATGGCCGCGGGCCTCCGCCTGCGACTTTCTTTTTCACTCGAACTCCGTGTCGATGTCGATATGTATAATCTAAGTGATAGTATATCCGTCCGCCCGTCCGTACGCCCAATTCTCACAAACGTGTAGCCTAAACTTGAAAAACCATGAGTATTTAAAAGTCCATTCTGTAATGATTCCTTTAAAATTTAGTTACATGTGAAATAATATATGATCACATGATTCGGGGCAAAGAAATACTGCAATACCAGTTCATTAAAAAACATTTTCGTGTCTAAATTTCTATGCGAGTAGGGGCTATCAGTTTATTTTGCCTCTTTAAAGCATTTCCTTCCAGATTTTTTTAATTTTTGTTGTTTTTTTGTAGTCCTAAGTGTCCAAGACATTTTAAAACAGTCAGACCAGGCTAATACGATTACTCTTTGACTTAACAGTTAACTAATGCCATTAAAACTTAAAACCAATCTAATGTTTTATAGGTTAGGTTAATCTGATGATTTCAACAGCTCTATTGAACTACTGTCGCCGTAGTAGTTCAAATAATCGACAACTCTACATCCTAGATTACTGGTCTACATTAATGAATGTTTTGTGATAACTTTTAGTTAAAAGACTCCTTTAAAAGCAGTTTCTTTTCAATAAGGGCCTGTATAATAATAAAAGTAGATACCTTATTACAATTTCAAAAGATTTTTCCATCCATTCATCTTTTAAGGGGCCTCAAAGGAAAATACAGGATAGACCTCTGTCACAAATGTCATTTTGAATGACGGACAAATTTTCAGTGCATTTTCGGTTTAGACCAGGCGGTATCTGTTTTGGTTTGGGTGAATCGTATAT